TTGAACCGCCAGCCTTCTGGTTAGCAGTCAGATGCCTTTAGGCACTATGCCACCAGAGCTCCTACATCTTAGATAGCTACTTTTTTTTAATTATTATTTTTATTGTGATTTGGGTGTCTGTGTAGACTGTTATTAGGCTGTAATATTTACAGAAGCAGATTGCCAGGTCTTTTTCCTACAGGGCTGTTGGGTAGATTAGAATTGCCAACCTTTCCTTTTTCTTCATGGTTTTTGTGTGCCATCTGGTTGATTGCAACTCACACCTACCCTTTCTGGAATAGGATGGGTCAAAAGGTTTTCCATTCTTTTATTCTTTTCACTTAGTGCTGTCATTTGATGCACTGAATTTTGTTGTTGTTGTTGTTTGTTTTTGTTTATAATATACATTTTATCTACTTTTGTTACTCATTTTGGTTTTATAAGACTCTATTGCCACATGTAAGGTCCTGAAGATTTACTCCTATGTTACCGTTTAAATATTGTTATAGCTTTAGCTCTTATATTTAGGTCACTAATCCATTTTGAACTAATTTTTATTTACAGTGTGAGATAGGGGTCCGTATCATTGTGGTTTACTTTGCATTTTTATAATGGCTGTGGTAATGAACATCTTTTCATGTGCTTATTTGCCATGTGTACATCCTCTTTAGTGAAATGTCTGGTCCTGTCTTTTGCCCACTTTTAATTGAATTGCTGCCCCCCCCCCCAGCTGTTGAGTTTTAAGATTTCATTACATATTCTGGATACTAGTATTGTCAGATTTCTGGTTTGCAAATATTTTCTCCCAGTCTATAACTTATCTTTGCCTCTTAACAAGGTCTTTTGCAGGGCAAAAGTTAATCTTGATGAAGTCCAGTTTATTAAGTTTTTCCTTTAATGCATTGTGCTTTTTGGTGTTACATCTAACAACATTTTACCCAGTCCAGGGTCCAAAGATTTTCCTATGATTTTTCCTGAAAGATTTTATAGTTTTATATTTAAGTCCACAATCCATTTGGAGGTGATTTTTGTATTGGTGTGAGATTTAGGTTGAAGTTCATGTGGTTGCTGAATTGCTGTAGCACCTTTTGTTGAAAAGGCTGCCCTTCCTTCATTGACTTGCTTTTGTACCATTGTCAAAATCAGTTGGGCATATTTGTGTGGGCCTGTTTCCAGATTCTCTGTTCTGTATCATTGATCCATATGCTGATCCCTGTGCAGTACCACACAGTCCTGATTACTGTAGCTTTATAATAAGTCTTGAAATAGGATAAACTTTATTATAGTTCCTTTATCTTTTCATATAAATTTTAGATTAGTCTACATCTACAAAAAAACATTGCTGG